GAGCATTGGCAGAGCTCAGTTAAAAACCTCATGGGCTCTTCCTGCAGGGAGCATAACTGCTCATGGTGGTACAGTGAAGTGCAGGATCTATCGTTCAAATGGTGACTTGCTGTGGGTTCATGGTAATGTGTGTGATCTGTCATCGCAGGGCACTTGATTCCAAATAGGCCTTCCTCCCTCCTGAGGAGGATTCAACTCAAGGATGCTTGTGGTCAACCAGGGTCCTAACCCACTCAAAGCTGAGGAGGTGATGGGTGATGCCATCTCCTGGGGCACATACAGATGATGTTGCTGAACACCAGTGACTAGGACACAAGAGGATGTGTGATGGAAGTGTCTCCAGGAGCAGGAGTTACAGTAATGAACATACTCAACCTTCATCTGCCACAAGATGAATACTAATCCCTTGCAAGCTCCATTCCCACAGCTGCTCTATCAGGAAGACAGTAGGAGCAATATATTGTCCCAGAGATGGAGTGACGCAATGGCGAAAAAAAGGGTGATACTCCCTCCCAAAGCAAGGAAACAAGTGGGAACTGAGATGAAGTTGGAAGTCCTTTGCCTGAAATCAGTGTGTTGGAACACCTACCCTCAGAAATGGGCTGGAAGTATCACATCATCACATCCTTCCTGAAGGAGGAACACAAAGAGAAAACCATGCTGTGTCACAAGAAAAACCTGCTGCTAAGACTTAGAGATCAGCCAGAAAAGTTCTTAAAGGCACCACTGCCCAGTGCACAGATGTGTGGAGCGATTTGGCTTCTCAGGTGAAACCTTTCATGCTAATACAGCAAATTTTCAATACAACTTAAGAAACCTCAGAGAAAGAGAGCCAAGAATGCTTAGGACCTTCAAGTGATTCCATAAAAAAATTGAGATCACCTTTTACACTGTCATTAGATAATTCAGATAATATTATAGAACCTCTGACCAAAATAGAGGTTAACATGAAGTTATGGTGATTATTATATTATCCAGGTTGGTATGAGTTTGAGGAACATTACATGTAGCATTTTCCCCTGAGAAAGAAAAGAAACCCAAGAAATTGCACTGGCTTAAATAAGGTGCTGTGGTTGTACCTCTCCTG